GACATCACCAGGTACAGGTCATGTGACATCACCAGGTACAGACCATGTGACATCACCAGGTACAGACCATGTGACATCACCAGGTACAGACCATGTGACATCACCAGGTACAGACCATGTGACATCACCAGGTACAGACCATGTGACATCACCAGGTACAGACCATGTGACATCACCAGGTACAGACCATGTGACATCAGACGTGACATCACAGGTACAGACCATGTGACATCACCAGGTACAGACCATGTGACATCACAGGTACAGACCATGTGACATCACCAGGTACAGGTCATGTGACATCACCAGGTACAGACCATGTGACATCACCAGGTACAGACCATGTGACATCACCAGGTACAGACCATGTGACATCACCAGGTACAGACCATGTGACATCACCAGGTACAGACCATGTGACATCACCAGGTACAGACCATGTGACATCACCAGGTACAGACCATGTGACATCACCAGGTACAGGTCATGTGACATCACCAGGTACAGACCATGTGACATCACCAGGTACAGACCATGTGACATCACCAGGTACAGACCATGTGACATCACCAGGTACAGACCATGTGACATCACCAGGTACAGACCATGTGACATCACCATTTACAGACCATGTGACATCACCAGGTACAGACCATGTGACATCACCAGGTACAGACCATGTGACATCACCAGGTACAGACCATGTGACATCACCAGGTACAGACCATGTGACATCACCAGGTACAGACCATGTGACATCACCAGATACAGACCATCATAAACACCAATAAAACAACAAATGAATAAATGACAGAAAGTAATAAAAACAGATGAATGTTCTCGTTCATGAGAGACATTATTATTATTATAGTTATTTTATTATTATTATTATTATAGTTATTTTATTATTATCATTATTATCGTTATTTTATTATTATTATTATTATAGTTATTTTATTATTATTATTATTATAGTTATTTTATTATTATTATCATTATTATCGTTATTTTATTATTATTATTATTATTATAGTTATTTTATTATTATTATTATTATTATAGTTATTTTATTATTATTAATATTATTGTTATTTTATTATTATTATAAAAGTTGAATCCCATTGAGGGCGACAGTTGGTAGAGCATTGGCCTTTAGGCCTGAAGGTCGTCGGTTCAATTCCCACTTCGACACCTTCTCCACCAACTCCCACTGATGGCTACTGTTGTTGTGTCCCTGGGCAAGACACTTAACCCCACTTTGCCCAAAGCCCCTGCTGAAAGGCAAGGCAAGGCAAGTTTATTTGTATAGCACAATTCATACACAAGGCAACTCAAAGTGCTGAACAAAACAAGAAAGCATTAAAATCATAAATTATCACAGAACATTAAAAAGAAAGATAAAAATATAAAATCCCTCAGTTGCAGCACAGCTAAACAGAACTATCTTTAACCTGGTTTTAAACATTGTCAGAGAGGAGGCCTGTCTTTTATTTGACAAGCAAAGTAGGTGTGGTTACATTTTCACAATACCATATATAGTTATGATTGCTAAGTTTATTGGTGCAGTTGGTGCGTCTTAGTGACGCCCCCCCCCAACTCAACTCAAGCGCAAGCAGTTTCAAACTAGCAGATGTGAAACTATCCGTTGGTCTATCAGACAGGAAACTGTTGCAGACTGCTGTAACTTACATCCTGTCTCCTCTGCACACACTTTCATTTCCTGTCCTCTCTGCACAACACTATGAACATTTGATTTAAAATCACAAATAGCAGTTCTGCTTATAAATGCACATATAATAAAACAAAATAAAACCTTAATATGAACCCTGGACATTTTCCCACAGCCTGTCTCACATCTTCAGGAAGATTGTTCCAGATTTTAGCAGCATGAATCTGAAAAGCAGCCTCCCCATGTTTAGTTCTGACTCTGGGCACTAACAGGAGTCCAGTCCCTGTGCTCCTCAGAGTCCCAGCAGGAGTCCAGTCCCTGTGATCCTCAGAGTCCCAGCAGGAGTCCAGTCCCTGTGCTCCTCAGAGTCCCAGCAGGAGGCCAGTCCCTGTGCTCCTCAGAGTCCCAGCAGGAGGCCAGTCCCTGTGCTCCTCAGAGTCCCAGCAGGAGTCCAGTCCCTGTGCTCCTCAGAGAGTCCCAGCAGGAGGCCAGTCCCTGTGCTCCTCAGAGTCCCAGCAGGAGTCCAGTCCCTGTGCTCCTCAGAGTCCCAGCAGGAGTCAGTCCCTGTGCTCCTCAGAGTCCCAGCAGGAGTCAGTCCCTGTGCTCCTCAGAGTCCCAGCAGGAGTCCAGTCCCTGTGCTCCTCAGAGTCCCAGCAGGAGGCCAGTCCCTGTGCTCCTCAGAGTCCCAGCAGGAGGCCAGTCCCTGTGCTCCTCAGAGTCCCAGCAGGAGTCCAGTCCCTGTGCTCCTCAGAGTCCCAGCAGGAGTCCAGTCCCTGTGCTCCTCAGAGTCCCAGCAGGAGTCCAGTCCCTGTGCTCCTCAGAGTCCCAGCAGGAGTCCAGTCCCTGTGCTCCTCAGAGTCCCAGCAGGAGTCCAGTCCCTGTGCTCCTCAGAGTCCCAGCAGGAGTCCAGTCCCTGTGCTCCTCAGAGTCCCAGCAGGAGTCCAGTCCCTGTGCTCCTCAGAGTCCCAGCAGGAGTCCAGTCCCTGTGCTCCTCAGAGTCCCAGCAGGAGGCCAGTCCCTGTGCTCCTCAGAGTCCCAGCAGGAGTCCAGTCCCTGTGCTCCTCAGAGTCCCAGCAGGAGGCCAGTCCCTGTGCTCCTCAGAGTCCCAGCAGGAGGCCAGTCCCTGTGCTCCTCAGAGTCCCAGCAGGAGGCCAGTCCCTGTGCTCCTCAGAGTCCCAGCAGGAGTCCAGTCCCTGTGCTCCTCAGAGTCCGGGCTGGTTCATATGGGACTAACATGTCACTAATATATTTTGGTGCGAGGCTATGGAGAGACTTGTAACAAGCAGAGCTGTTTTAAAGTCTATTCTCTGAGCCACAGGAAGCCAGTGCAGAGACCTGAGGACTGGACTAATGTGGTCGTACTTCCTGGTTCTAGTCAGGACTAATATGGTCGTACTTCCTGGTTCTAGTCAGGACTAATGTGGTCGTAACTTCCTGGTTCTAGTCAGGACTAATGTGGTCGTACTTCCTGGTTCTAGTCAGGACTAATGTGGTCGTACTTCCTGGTTCTAGTCAGGACTAATGTGGTCGTACTTCCTGGTTCTAGTCTGGACTAATGTGGTCGTACTTCCTGGTTCTAGTCAGGACTAATGTGGTCGTACTTCCTGGTTCTAGTCAGGACTCGAGCTGCTGCATTTTGAATGTACTGCAGCTGTTTTACAGCCTGTTTGGACAGACCTGTGAGCAGGCCATTGCAGTAGTCTAACCTACTGGAGACAAATGCATGGATAAGAATCTCCAAGTCTGCTTTAGACACTATGTTTTTGATCCTGGCAATGTTTTTTAGATGGTAAAAAGAGTTTTAGTTTTAGTGGGACTTTCCAAAAGAGTAAAGTAATAATCCAGTCCCAAGTCCATAGTTTGAATCTCGTAAACTTTGTGTAACGTTGTATAAATGTGGCTCATCAGGACATAACAAAGGAACTATGAATACTTTTGATTGTTTAGAAGCCGTTTTGTTGTTGAGTCGTTTGTGTTTCCTCTGTCTCTGTAAAAACTGTAATCAGGACGTCACGGTTCAATCCAGGACAGGTCTGAACAGATATCAGAGTGTGTGTGAGTGTGAGTGTGTGTGTGTGTGTGTGAGTGTGTGTGTATGTGTGGGGGTGTGTGTGTGTATGTTGGTGTGTGTGTGCGTGTGTGTTCTCATGGTCTGGGTCAATACTTTGGTCTCAATCAGGTCTGTAAATGTGTAAATGTGTAAATGTGTAAATGTGTGTGTGTGTGTGTGTGTGTGTGTGTGTGTGTGTGTGTGTGTGTGTGTGTGTGTGTGTGTGTGTGTGTGTGTGTGTGTACGTGGAGCTGCTCAGTCATAAACACTGACAACAGGGCAGACGCAGGAGGACCCTGGACCAGGTCTGACCCTGGACCAGGTCAGACCTGATATAAATCCTGAGACTGGACTGAGCTCGGTGTGAACAACCCTTGACCGCGCACAGGTAAGACCAGGACACTGCTTTCACTGAGGGAGGAGAGAGTAAAGCTCGGGTACCTAACTTTTATATTCTTTAGACAGAGTTCCACAGAAAGTTAACTGTCTTCACCTCATTACAACATGTTTATCTTCTGAATAATTGTAAGAGCCCTGTGAGTCACTATCTGCCTCTTTGGGCTGAGAGCTGATTGGCTGAGGGAGGGGGGTCCTTCTGCTGCGTCTGAAAAAGCAGATCTAAAGTGATGTAAATGATGTGAAAAGCAGGGATAGAACCAAACTGCTTCTTGTGGTTAAAGTCAGGTACCCGAGCTTTAAAACAAATACATTTATTATTGTGCAGCTGAATCACAGCAGTAGTTTTCGCTGCAACTGCACAGATCAGAAAACTTCAGCTTTAACCTCGTCTGTAATTTTAAAATTATAATTGTTATTTATTTTATTGCTCTATTTAATTGTAAATATTATATAATCCTTTTTATAAATGAGAAACTTTCAGAGATTTCAGAGAATTTATTTTAGGTTTATTACTTTTTCTTAAAATACATTTGGATAAGTTTTAATATTTAACAGTCTTTTAGAGTACAGAAATATAAGACTTCTCAGTATATAATTCTCAAACGGTGAAGAAAGTGAAACTTTGGTAAAGCAGTGGTTAGCCCCGCCCATTCTCACTCCTGCAGCCTCCTGATTGGTCAAAATGAATTCAAATCCTTGAGGCCCCTCGTCATTGGTTTAAGTGTTCTCCTCCAGAACAGGTCGTAGTAATGTCCATGTATAATGTATTAAATATATTATTGTTGAGAGTGACTCACTTAATCCAAGTCCGGGTCTGAAATATATCGATTATAAAATAAAATCTTTAGTTTTTTTGTTTTGTTTTCAGGAGTCCACGTCATCATGAAGCTGTTTGCAGTGATCCTCGTCTTCGCCTTCGCCTCAGGTCAATAACTATTATCAACATCATTATCTGTAGGGAAAGGCCATCCTGACACACCTCTGAAGCTAAGCAGGGCAGGGGAGGGTTAGCTCTGTGATGGGAGACAGCCCAGACTGTAAAGTGCCAAATTGTCCTTGGGCAAGACACAGTATAAACTACTGTCACTTTAACCTGCACTAATAATTTCAAGAAATGTTAGATTTTTTCATGCATTCCTGTTTCTATTTGTACTTGTTATAACTTGAGCCAAAGTAGATTATTCGTGAGTGACTTCTTGTTACAGACAATGGCATTAAAATGATGATTAAAATGAAAACAGATTGTTGTTTGCTGCAGGCGGCTGGTCCCGGACGCTCCCTCAGGCCGACTCGTGGGAAACAGCGGTGGAGAAGTTTCAGGATTATTTCACAAACCTGAACTCAAAGACTGACGAGTTCCTGCAGGAGTTCAGACGGACACAGATCAGCCGAGACCTGGAGTGAGTCCATCTCTCAGATACATAGACATCACTCTCACAGGGCGGCGCGATCATGACCTGCGTACTATACATTATCTCTTACATCAATGATTATCAGTAAAAATAAGTAATGTGTATTTATATAGCACATGTTTGCAGACCAAGGTCACCCAAAGCTCTTTACAAAGTTCAGAGTCAGATATTGATCCAGTCTCTCCACACAGTGATGAAGCGAGACCAGAACACACTGGTCTATCAAAGCCTCCGACCAAACACCCTCCACTCTCCCATTACATTCAGACTATTGTACATGTTTTTAGTGGTAGGGAGGAAACTTACGCAGACACAGGGAGAACATGCAAACTCCACACAGAAAGGCCCTGTTCCAACTGGGATTCAAACTCAGAACCTTCTTGCTGAGAAGCGAGAGGGCTAACCACTCAGCCACCGTGCCGCATCAGCTACATATTTGATAAATAATGATCTGGAAAAACATGTTCTTCTCAACATTTCTTAAAAAATGGTTTCTTGCCCAAAGAGTTGAACTAAGACTGCAACATGGACGTGAACACATGACCCGCTGGTTTGGCTTCATGTGTGGAGAAAGCACCAAACTCTGTTTGTCTTGTGTATCTTTATGAGGCCAATGTTGAACAGTTAGATCAGGTTAGAGTGACCCATTCAGCCGCACAGTGTGAGCGTTACATCAGAGCGGTCACTGAGAGGAGGTCGTCTGCAGAGGTCAACACGTGAGGACTTCATGTTAAGGACACGAGAACAACACGAGAACAACACGAGAACAACACGGGAACAACACGAGAACAACACGGGAACAACACGAGAACAACACGAGAACAACACGAGAACAACACGAGAACAACACGAGAACAACACGAGAACAACACGGGAACAACACGAGAACAACACGGGAACAACACGAGAACAACACGAGAACAACACAAAAACAACACGAGAACAACACAAGAACAACACGAGAACAACACAAGAACAACACGAGAACAACACGAGAACAACACGAGAACAACACGAGAACAACACGAAAACAACACGAGAACAACACGAACAACACAAGAACAACACAAAAACAACACGAGAACAACACGAGAACAACACGAGAACAACACGAGAACAACACGAGAACAACACGAAAACAACACGAGAACAACACGAGAACAACACAAGAACAACACGAGAACAACACGAGAACAACACGAGAACAACACGAGAACAACACGAGAACAACACGAGAACAACACGAGAACAACACGAAAACAACACGAGAACAACACGAGAACAACACGAGAACAACACGAGAACAACACGAGAACAACACGAGAACAACACGAGAACAACACGAGAACAACACGAGAACAACACAAGAACAACACAAGAACAACACGGGAACAACACGAGAACAACACATAATAATAGAACATAACAGAATCTTATTTACATAAGTGGGACAGAAGGACAGAGGGACAGAAGGACAGTGGGACATTTATTTCTTTTTTCTTCTGCTTTGAAGCTCATTTTACCCTGCACTCAGACCAGAGTCAAAGCGGTTTACAGTTGTTACATTAGTCTCTGACTCCACACAGAGATGGGCGGGGCCAGGACAGGAGGCACAGACCTACTGTACATGTTTTTAGTGGTAGGGGAAACCGGAGCACGGGGAGAACATGCAAACTCCACTCAGAAAGGCCCTGTTCTGACCAGGGTTAGAACCCAGGAGAGTGCTAACCACTCAGCCACCGTGCCGCCCATTGAACACACCTGCTCATTCGTAAATTTGTGTTTGATTGACAGCTCTCTGATGGAGGACAGCCTGAAGGAGCTGAAGACCTACAGGGACGACATGGAGACCAAACTGGCCCCGGTGGCTCAGGAGGCGGCTCAGAAGCTGGGCAGAGACCTGGACCAGCTGGGGTCCAGGCTCCAGGAGCAGATGCAGGAGGCCCGGGAGCAGCTGGACAAGTACGCTGAGGAGCTGCAGACCATGATGGAGCAGAACGTGGACGATGTGAAGACCCGCCTCAGCACGTACACACGCAAGATGAAGAAACGCCTCAACAAGGACACGCACGAGATCAAGAGGTGAAAACACTCAATCACTCTCGTTATCAGACAGCAGGCCTCAAAACACAATCTGCATTATCTTTGGCCATTACACTATTTACTTTTACATTCATGTTTTAGAATCTTAAAGGAGCAGTGTGTAAACATGTGGCCAAAAGTGGTACTGCAGCCTCTCCCACTCTCCCTGACTCAGGTTGCCAGATATGCAGACGAATCCAGCTGGGACCATAACAGCTGAATAGACAAGAGTTTTGTCAACAACAAATCTATAACCAACACCTTTTTCACAAAGATAGAAATCCTGGTTTTATTCCTTATTTTGTCGTTAATGATTTGAGAATCATAACGAGACCTTTTTTAGTTCTGCGCCACATGGTACCAGTGAGATTAGCTCCACACGGTGATTTAGGGACTGGAAAAGTAATTTAGAAATTCAATTATCTCTGAACTACTGTTATCAGTTTAAGAAGTATTGGAAAAGAACAGTTTATTATTATGACAGATTAGGGCCCTTTAATGATGACAGATTAGGGCCCTTTAATGATGACAGATTAGGGCCCTTTAATGATAACAGATTAGGGCCCTTTAATGATGACAGATTAGGGCCCTTTAATGAGAACAGATTAGGGCCCTTTAATGATGACAAATTAGGGCCCTTTAATGAGGATAGATTAGGGCCCTTTAATGAGGACAGATTAGGGCCCTTTAATGAGGACAGATTAGGGCCCTTTAATGATGACAGATTAGGGCCCTTTAATAATGATAGATTAGGGCCCTTTAATGATGACAGATTATGGCCCTTTAATGATGACAGATTAGGGCCCTTTAATGATGACAGATTAGGGCCCTTTAATGATGACAGATTAGGACCCTTTAATGATGACAGATTAGGGCCCTTTAATGATGACAAATTAGGGCCCTTTAATGATGACAGATTAGGGCCCTTTAATGAGGACAGATTAGGGCCCTTTAATGAGAACAGATTAGGGCCCTTTAATGATGACAAATTAGGGCCCTTTAATGAGGACAAATTAGGGCCCTTTATTGAGGACAGATTAGGGCCCTTTAATGAGGACAGATTAGGGCCCTTTAATGATGACAGATTAAGGCCCTTTAATAATGATAGATTAGGGCCCTTTAATGATGACAGATTATGGCCCTTTAATGATGACAGATTAGGGCCCTTTAATGATGACAGATTAGGGCCCTTTAATGATGACAGATTATGGCCCTTTTATGATGAAAGATTAGGGCCCTTTAATGATGACAAATTAGGGCCCTTTAATGAGGAAAGATTAGGGCCCTTTAATGATGACAGATTAGGGCCCTTTAATGAGGACAGATTAGGGCCCTTTAATGATAACAGATTAGGGCCCTTTAATGATGACAGATTAGGGCCCTTTAATGAGGACAGATTAGGGCCCTTTAATGAGGACAGATTAGGGCCCTTTAATTATGACAGATTAGGGCCTTTAATGATGACAGATTAGGGTCCTTTAATGATGACAGATTAGGGCCCTTTAACGATGACAGATTAGGGTCCTTTAACAATGACAGATTAGGGCCCTTTAAAGATGACAGATTAGGGTTCTTTAACAATGACAGATTAGGGCCCTTTAATGATGACGGATTAGGGCCCTTTAACAATGACGGATTAGGGTCCTTTAACGATGACAGATTAGGGCCCTTTAATGATCACAGAATAGGGCCCTTTAATGATGACAGATTAGGGTCCTTTAACGATGACAGATTAGGGCCCTTTAACGATGACAGATTAGGGTCCTTTAACGATGACAGATTAGGGCCCTTTAACGATGACAGATTAGGGTCCTTTAACAATGACAGATTAGGGCCCTTTAATGATGACAGATTAGGGCCCTTTAATGATGACAGTCTTGGGTCCTTTAATGATGACGGATTAGGGCCCTTTAATGATGACAGATTAGGGCCCTTTAATGATGACAGATTAGGGCCCTTTAATGATGACGGATTAGGGCCCTTTAATAATGACGGATTAGGGCCCTTTAACGATGACAGATTAGGGTTCTTTAACAATGACAGATTGGGGCCCTTTAACGATGACAGATTAGGGTCCTTTAACAATGACAGATTAGGGCCCTTTAATGATGACAGATTAGGGCCCTTTAATGATGACAGTCTTGGGTCCTTTAATGATGACAGATTAGGGCCCTTTAATGATGACAGATTAGGGCCCTTTAATGATGACAGATTAGGGCCCCTTAACGATGACGGATTAGGGCCCTTTAATAATGACAGATTAGGGCCCTTTAATGATGACAGATTAGGGTCCTTTAATGATGACAGATTAGGGCCCTTTAATGATGAAAGTCTTGGGTCCTTTAATGATGACAGATTAGGGCCCTTTATTGATGACAGATTTAATGATGACAGATTAGGGCCCTTTAATGATGACAGATTAGGCCCTTTAATGATGACAGATTAGGGCCCTTTAATGATGACAGTAGCTTGGGTCCTTTAATGATGACGGATTAGGGCCCTTTAATGATGACAGATTAGGGCCCTTTAATGATGACAGATTAGGGCCCTTTAATGATGACGGATTAGGGCCCTTTAATAATGACAGATTAGGGCCCTTTAACGATGACAGATTAGGGTTCTTTAACAATGACAGATTGGGGCCCTTTAACGATGACAGATTAGGGTCCTTTAACAATGACAGATTAGGGCCCTTTAATGATGACAGATTAGGGCCCTTTAATGATGACAGTCTTGGGTCCTTTAATGATGACAGATTAGGGCCCTTTAATGATGACAGATTAGGGCCCTTTAATGATGACAGATTAGGGCCCTTTAACGATGACGGATTAGGGCCCTTTAATAATGACAGATTAGGGCCCTTTAATGATGACAGATTAGGGTCCTTTAATGATGACAGATTAGGGCCCTTTAATGATGAAAGTCTTGGGTCCTTTAATGATGACAGATTAGGGCCCTTTAATGATGACAGATTAGGGCCCTTTAATGATGACAGATTAGGGCCCTTTAATTATGACAGATTAGGGCCCTTTAATGATGACAGTTTAGGGTCCTTTAATGATGACAGATTAGGGCCCTTTAACGATGACGGATTAGGGTCCTTTAACGATGACAGATTAGGGCCCTTTAATGATCACAGATTAGGGCCCTTTAATGATGACAGATTAGGGTCCTTTAACAATGACAGATTAGGGCCCTTTAACGATGACAGATTAGGGTCCTTTAACAATGACAGATTAGGGCCCTTTAAAGATGACAGATTAGGGTTCTTTAACAATGACAGATTAGGGCCCTTTAATGATGACGGATTAGGGCCCTTTAACAATGACGGATTAGGGCCCTTTAACGATGACAGATTAGGGCCCTTTAATGATGACAGATTAGGGCCCTTTAATGATGACAGATTAGGGCCCTTTAATGATGACAGATTAGGGCCCTTTAACGATGACAGATTAGGGTCCTTTAACGATGACAGATTAGGGCCCTTTAACGATGACAGATTAGGGTCCTTTAACAATGACAGATTAGGGCCCTTTAATGATGACAGATTAGGGCCCTTTAATGATGACAGTCTTGGGTCCTTTAATGATGACGGATTAGGGCCCTTTAATGATGACAGATTAGGGCCCTTTAATGATGACAGATTAGGGCCCTTTAATGATGACGGATTAGGGCCCTTTAATAATGACAGATTAGGGCCCTTTAATGATGACAGATTAGGGTCCTTTAATGATGACAGATTAGGGCCCTTTAATGATTACAGATTAGGGCCCTTTAAAGATGACAGATTAGGGCCCTTTAATGATGACAGTCTTGGGTCCTTTAATGATGACAGATTAGGGCCCTTTAACGATGACCGATTAGGACCCTTTAATGATGACAGATTAGGGTCCTTTAATGATGACAGATTAGGGCCCTTTAACGATGACAGATTAGGGTCCTTTAACGATGACAGATTAGGGCCCTTTAACGATGACAGATTAGGGTCCTTTAACAATGACAGATTAGGGCCCTTTAATGATGACAGATTAGGGCCCTTTAATGATGACAGTCTTGGGTCCTTTAATGATGACGGATTAGGGCCCTTTAATGATGACAGATTAGGGCCCTTTAATGATGACAGATTAGGGCCCTTTAATGATGACGGATTAGGGCCCTTTAATAATGACAGATTAGGGCCCTTTAATGATGACAGATTAGGGTCCTTTAATGATGACAGATTAGGGCCCTTTAATGATAACAGATTAGGGCCCTTTAAAGATGACAGATTAGGGCCCTTTAATGATGACAGATCTTGGGTCCTTTAATGATGACATATTAGGGCCCTTTAACGATGACGGATTAGGGTCCTTTAACGATGACAGATTAGGGCCCTTTAATGATCACAGAATAGGGCCCTTTAACGATGACAGATTAGGGCCCTTTAATGATGACAGATTAGGGTCCTTTAACGATGACAGATTAGGGCCCTTTAACGATGACAGATTAGGGTCCTTTAACAATGACAGATTAGGGCCCTTTAATGATGACAGATTAGGGCCCTTTAATGATGACAGTCTTGGGTCCTTTAATGATGACGGATTAGGGCCCTTTAATGATGACAGATTAGGGCCCTTTAATGATGACAGATTAGGGCCCTTTAATGATGACGGATTAGGGCCCTTTAATAATGACAGATTAGGGCCCTTTAATGATGACAGATTAGGGTCCTTTAATGATGACAGATTAGGGCCCTTTAATGATTACAGATTAGGGCCCTTTAAAGATGACAGATTAGGGCCCTTTAATGATGACAGTCTTGGGTCCTTTAATGATGACAGATTAGGGCCCTTTAATGATCACAGAATAGGGCCCTTTAACGATGACAGATTAGGGCCCTTTAATGATGACAGATTAGGGTCATCATTAAAGGGCCTAATCTGGCCTAATCCTCCCCCCTTGGACTGCCACCTTAACGTGGTGGGGGAGTTTGAGCACTCGGATGATCCTGGGAGCTATGCTGTCTGGGGCTTCATGCCCCTGGTAGGGTCTCCCATGGCAGACAGGTCTCAAGTGACGAGTCAGACGAAGCGCAGTCCGAAGCCAACCATGGACAGCACGACAACAAAAACCGTGACGTCGCCCGGCATGGCGCAGCCGGGGCCCCACCCTGGAGCCAGGCCTGGGGTCGGGGCTCGCAAGCGAGCGCCTGGTGGCCGGGCCTTAGCCCACGGGGCCCGGCCGGGCTCAGCCCGAAGGGATGACGTGGGCAGTCCCTCCTGTGGGCTCACCACCTGCAGAGGGGTCCGTGGTGGCGAGGTGCAGAGAGGACTGGGCAGCAGTCGAAGGCGGAGACCTCGACGACCCAGTCCACACACCCAACATCTGGCTCTTGGGACGTGGAACGTCACCTCACTGGGGGGGAAGGAGCCCGAGCTTGTGGGGGAGGTTGAGCGATACCGACTAGAGATAGTCGGCCTCACCTCCACACACAGCTTGGGCTCTGGAACCCAACTCCTTGAGAGGGGTTGGACGCTCCACTTTTCTGGTGTTTCCCGCGGGGAGAGGCGGCGAGCTGGGGTGGCCATACTCATTGCCCCCCATCTCAGCCGCCACGTGTTGGAGTTCTCCCCGGTGAATGAGAGGGTCGCGTCCCTCCGCCTCCGGGTGGGGGACAAGTCTCTCACTGTTGTGACGGCCTACGGGCCTAACGGTAGTGCAGAGTACCCGGCCTTCTTGGAGTCCTTGGGAGGGGTACTGGACAGTGCACCGCCCGGGGACTCCGTTATTCTCCTGGGGGACTTCAACGCCCATGTGGGAAATGCCAGTGACACTTGGAGAGGGGTGATCGGGAAGAGCGGCCCCCCTGATCTGAACCCGAGCGGTGTTCAGTTGTTGGACTTCTGTGCCAGTCACGGCCTGTCCATCACGAACACCATGTTCGAGCACAAGGGTGTCCATCAGTGCACGTGGCACCAGGACACCCTAGGCCGGAGGTCGATGATCGACTTTGTAGTCGTATCATCTGACCTTCGACCGCGTGTCTCGGACACTCGGGTGAAGAGAGGGGCGGAGCTGTCAACCGATCATCACCTGGTCGTGAGTTGGATCCGCTGGCAGGGCAGGAGGCCGGTCAGACCTGGCAGGCCCAAGCGTGTAGTGAGGGTTTGCTGGGAACGTCTCGCTGAGCCCCCTGTCAGACGGACTTTCAACTCACACCTCCGGGAGAGCTTCTCCCAGGTCCCGGCAGAGGAGGGGGACATCGAGTCCGAGTGGACCATGTTCTCTTCCTCTATCGCCAATGCGGCGGCTCGTAGCTGTGGTCGCAAGGTCTCTGGTGCTGGTCCCGGCGGCAATCCCCGAACCCGGTGGTGGACACCGGCAGTAAGGGATGCCGTCAGGCTGAAGAAGGAGTCCTATCGAGCAATGATGGTTCGTGGGACTCCTGAGGCAGCTGTCCAGTACCGGCAGGCCAAACGTGCCGCGGCCCGGGCTGTTGCAGAGGCAAAAACCCGGGACTGGGAGGAGTTCGGAGAGTCCATGGAGCATGACTATCGGTCGGCCTCGAAGAGGTTCTGGCAAACCGTCCGGTGCCTCAGGAGGGGGAAGCAGTTCTTTGCCAACACCGTGTATGGTGCGGGTGGAGGGCTGCTGACCTCGACTGGGGATATTGTCGGGCGGTGGAAGGAATACTTCGAGGTTCTCCTCAATCCCCCCGTCACGTCCCCCGTCCAGGAGGCAGAGGCTGAGGATGTTGGGGCGGATACTTCCATCTCCCTGGCCGAGGTCACCAAGGTGGTTGGCAGCCTCCATGGTGGCAAGGCGCCGGGAGTGGATGAGATCCGTCCTGACTATCTAAAGTCTCTGGATGTTGTAGGACTGTCTTGGCTGACACGTCTCTGCAACATCGCGTGGCGATCGGGGGCGGTTGCCAATGGAGTGGCAGACCGGGGTGGTGGTCCCTCTCTACAAGAAGGGGGACCGGAGGGTGTGTTCCAATTATCGTGGGATCACACTCCTCAGCCTCCCCGGTAAGGTCTACTCCAAGGTACTGGAGAGGAGGCTTCGTCCGATGGTCGAATCTCGGATTCAGGAGGAGCAGTGTGGTTTTCGTCCCGGTCGCGGAACACTGGACCAGCTCTATACTCTCCATCGGATACTCGAGGGTTCATGGGAGTTCGCCCAACCTGTCCACATGTGCTTTGTGGATTTGGAGAAGGCGTTCGACCGCGTTCCCCGGGGTGTCCTTTGGGGGGTCCTCCGGGAGTACGGGGTCCGGGGTCCTCTGCTGAGGGCTGTTCGGTCCCTGTATGACCGGAGCCAGAGCTGTGTTCGCATTGCTGGCAGTAAGTCAGACCTGTTCCCGGTGCATGTTGGCCTCCGCCAAGGCTGCCCTTTGTCACCGGTTCTGTTCACTGTATTTATGGACAGAATCTCTAGGCGCAGCCAGGGGCCGGAGGGGGTCCGGTTCGGGAACCACAGGATTTTATCTCTACTTTTTGCGGATGATGTCGTCCTGCTGGCTCCAACGAACCAGGACCTGCAACATGCACTGGGACGGTTTGCAGCCGAGTGTGAAGCGGCTGGGATGAGAATCAGCACCTCCAAATCCGAGGCCATGGTGCTTGACCGGAAAAAGGTGCCTTGCCCTCTCCAGGTGGGTGGAGAGGTCCTTCCTCAAGTGGAGGAGTTCAAGTATCTCGGGGTCTTGTTCACGAGTGAGGGGAGGATGGAGCGTGAGATTGACAGGCGGATCGGTGCAGCGTGCGCAGTGATGCGGTCTCTGTATCGGACCGTTGTGGTAAAGAGGGAGACTGAGCCGAAAGGCAAAGCTCTCAATTTACCGGTCAACAACACAAGAACAACACAGAGTGGCTGGGCGCTCCCTTAGAGATAGGGTGAGGAGCTCGGTCACACGGGAGGAGCTCGGAGTAGAGCCGCTGCTTCTCCACGTCGAGAACAACACGGGAACAACACGAGGACTGCTCGAACAACACATAATAATAGAACATAACAGAATCTTATTTACATAAGTGGGACAGAAGGACAGAGGGACAGAAGGACAGTGGGACATTTATTTCTTTTTTCTTCTGCTTTGAAGCTCATTTTACCCTGCACTCAGACCAGAGTCAAAGCGGTTTACAGTTGTTACATTAGTCTCTGACTCCACACAGAGATGGGCGGGGCCAGTACAGGAGGCACAGACCTACTGTACATGTTTTTAGTGGTAGGGGAAACCGGAGCACGGGGAGAACATGCAAACTCCACTCAGAAAGGCCCTGTTCTGACCAGGGTTAGAACCCAGGAGAGTGCTAACCACTCAGCCACCGTGCCGCCCATTGAACACACCTGCTCATTCGTAAATTTGTGTTTGATTGACAGCTCTCTGATGGAGGACAGCTTGAAGGAGCTGAAGACCTACAGGGACGACATGGAGACCAAACTGGCCCCGGTGGCTCAGGAGGCGGCTCAGAAGCTGGGCAGAGACCTGGACCAGCTGGGGTCCAGGCTCCAGGAGCAGATGCAGGAGGCCCGGGAGCAGCTGGACAAGTACGCTGAGGAGCTGCAGACCATGATGGAGCAGAACGTGGACGATGTGAAGACCCGCCTCAGCACGTACACACGCAAGATGAAGAAACGCCTCAACAAGGACACGCACGAGATCAAGAGGTGAAAACACTCAATCACTCTCGTTATCAGACAGCAGGCCTCAAAACACAATCTGCATTATCTTTGGCCATTACACTATTTACTTTTACATTCATGTTTTAGAATCTTAAAGGAGCAGTGTGTAAACATGTGGCCAAAAGTGGTACTGCAGCCTCTCCCACTCTCCCTGACTCAGGTTGCCAGATATGCAGACGAATCCAGCTGGGACCATAACAGCTGAATAGACAAGAGTTTTGTCAACAACAAATCTATAACCAACACCTTTTTCACAAAGATAGAAATCCTGGTTTTATTCCTTATTTTGTCGTTAATGATTTGAGAATCATAACGAGACCTTTTTTAGTTCTGCGCCACATGGTACCAGTGAGATTAGCTCCACACGGTGATTTAGGGACTGGAAAAGTAATTTAGAAATTCAATTATCTCTGAACTACTGTTATCAGTTTAAGAAGTATTGGAAAAGAACAGTTTATTATTATGACAGATTAGGGCCCTTTAATGATGACAGATTAGGGGCCCTTTAATGATGACAGATTAGGGCCCTTTAATGAGAACAGATTAGGGCCCTTTAATGATGACAAATTAGGGCCCTTTAATGAGGACAGATTAGGGCCCTTTAATGAGGACAGATTAGGGCCCTTTAATGAGGACAGATTAGGGCCCTTTAATGATGACAGATTAGGGCCCTTTAATAATGATAGATTAGGGCCCTTTAATGATGACAGATTATGGCCCTTTAATGATGACAGATTAGGGCCCTTTAATGATGACAGATTAGGGCCCTTTAATGATGACAGATTAGGACCCTTTAATGATTACAGATTAGGGCCCTTTAATGATGACAAATTAGGGCCCTTTAATGATGACAGATTAGGGCCCTTTAATGAGGACAGATTAGGGCCCTTTAATGAGAACAGATTAGGGCCCTTTAATGATGACAAATTAGGGCCCTTTAATGAGGACAAATTAGGGCCCTTTATTGAGGACAGATTAGGGCCCTTTAATGAGGACAGATTAGGGCCCTTTAATGATGACAGATTAAGGCCCTTTAATAATGATAGATTAGGGCCCTTTAATGATGACAGATTATGGCCCTTTAATGATGACAGATTAGGGACCTTTAATGATGACAGATTAGGGCCCTTTAATGATGACAGATTATGGCCCTTTTATGATGAAAGATTAGGGCCCTTTAATGATGACAAATTAGGGCCCTTTAATGAGGAAAGATTAGGGCCCTTTAATGATGACAGATTAGGGCCCTTTAATGAGGACAGATTAGGGCCCTTTAATGATAACAGATTAGGGCCCTTTAATGATGACAGATTAGGGCCCTTTAATGAGGACAGATTATTTGCGTGCAATTCCCTATGCTACCACCAGAGGGAGGAGTCGACCCCCCCACTATAGAACAAGACCAAATGGATTTCTTTCTGTTCATGTTTTTGAATCTGTAATAATATGTTAGGTAGAAAATATGGTGAAATAATTATGAGGGGTAAAAAATGCTTCACACCTGTAACTCCCGACGCGACCACCAGAGGGAGGACTTTAGAGAAGTGGAAGTGGAGTAATTCTATGAAACATCATGAAGTGAGATGTCCACAAATAGAACAGCAGAGTCAGGAAGAGCAGACATGAGCAACGCTATGCAGTAAGACCAGAACAATATGTTACTATAGTTACTTATGATGTATAACTGGGAAATTACTTTTATTTTTGAGTATTTTTTGTGTAATAGAATGTGTCCATGCTTTCTTCGGCTGATTTGCATCACAAACTGACCTTTGGGTTCATGTAAGCTTTGTCTGATTTATTTATTGTGAAATATTTTAAAACAATTGACACAATTGTTTTAATAACTAGGGATTCTTTAGACCATTTATCTAAGATGAGTTTCTGTGTGAAAACTTTCAACTTTTGGAAAGGTGTTTATGTTAATCCTAAACTAAAGGGTCTTAAAACTTTAGATTTGTGAAATTTTATGGACTTTGAGTCTGACAAATAAAGACAATAAATAAAAAAGATATATTTACTCAATGACGTTATTTTGTTTCAGTCAAACGTCCCTCTACTCAACTGGGATTACAGGAGATTAAACAAGTTAGTTTTATTTTGCTAATGAAAGTTGTCGGTCCAGTCGGTCAGAACCAGATCAGAATCAGATTTAATATTGTACACAAAATTCTGTGGGTCATAAAAATCAGTAAAAATCCCCAAAAACGGCTGAAAGACAAACCCTCCAGATATAAATGTTACTCTTATTTATATTTAAGTTAAACAGGTTCTTTTGTGCTGACATTGTTACAACTTGTAATTAGAATACATTGTTATCAAAACTACAGTGCTCAGCTGCACCCACCTGTAGTTCAAGGTTCAAAGTTCAGCTTTATTGTCCGTGCAGATTAATCTAGGCTCACATTAGTCCCATTAACGGCGTCAGAGCAAACATCAGGCTGGACTGGAACTCTCCGACAATGTTCAAATCCCTCACTGAACCCTTGTGCTCGCAGCCACAGAGATTACACACAGAGACCCTAATTTAGAGTTTTTCAAGTAATTATGACTTTGACTCCTGCTCATTTAGACCGTTTTAGACCCGAGCTTGTCATGGACCTGAAGGAGCAACTAAATGATCTTCACTCTTTGTAAAAATAACAATAATGCATTTATACAGAGCTTTTTTGGACATCATTATCCTCTCTCTCCAAACACAGGTGATAAACTACTGTAGCCACAGCTGCCCTGGGGCACACTGACAGAAGCAACCAGTCTGTGCCATTGGCCACCACCAACCATCCACACACACACACACCAGACTCATTCTAATGTGGGGGAAGTGTCTTACTGTGGCACCTGGTGTTCCCAGAGGTTAAGTGTCTTGCCCAAGAACACAACGACAGCAGACAGCTGAGCCACTGTAATGGGCTGTTATTATTTATGTCTTTGTTTGAACAGTTTAATGATTCCTTTCTTGTTCAGCCTTGTGTATGAACTGTTTTATTCTTTAAAGCACATCTGTGTAGCTCTGAATCCCACATCACATTTGTAAATAATAAAAATAAAGTTGATCTTATCTTCTATATCTATCTATAAAATAAACGTGCCTGTGTTTCAGAAACGTGGAGACCTACCTGAGCGAGCTGCAGACCAAAGCCAGCGACAACGTGAACGAGATCCGGGAGCGCGTGGACCCGTTCCTCAGCCAGGTCCGGGACAACACCGAGGACAAGATCAGCTCCATCAACAAGCTCCTGCAGACCCAGATCCAGACCGCGGGCGAGACCATCCAGTCCAAGGTCCAGGAGATCCAACAGAACCTGGACCAAGGCGGCAAAGACCTGCGCTCGACGATGGAGGAGATTGTGGACGAAGTGCGCACGTGGTTCGGCCTCTGATAGAACCGGGTTTTAGACCCAGACTCAGACTCAGACCAGACTCAGACTAAGACCAGACCCAGACCAGACACAGAATCAGACCAGACTCAGACTCACGGTTTAATAACATCTGGAAGAGAAAACAGGATTTTGTACATGTGCAATAAACAACCTGAACATTATCCATGGTGTTGTTTTTGGCTTTAAGAGGATTAGACTCTGAAGTTTGTAGAGCAGTGGTTCCCAACCTTTGGCCCGAGTACCTCCCGAGTACCTCCCGAGTCCCTCCAGACTAACGCAGACATGAGTCTACCCTCAATGTGACACCAAGGACTTTCTTTATGGAACGTTGTTAGTTACTAATATTTAGAATCAGATTATTATATTTCTATGATGGTTTTCTCATGTGGGGAATTTTTCCACATTTATGCTTTTATTTAACTTCATTTTTTAGATTTGAACTAAATGAGTGCATGCTTGGACTTAACTGTATAATGTATAAGGACAGCTTTTTATTTCAGACTCATAGAGCATTTAATATAATTTTGTCCTGGGTTCAATGTAAAACAAATGCGATGGATATTTTCCTGAGAAATCTAGCTTTATAATAATGTATAACATGCCATAGCAGCACATAATAACCTCTCAGTATCAATGTTTGCATGTTTTGAAAACCTTTTTAGAAGAAGAAGAAGAAGGTCCTTTATTCATCCTGCAAAGGGGGAAGTTGAGTTTGATGCATACACTTACATAATATACATATACACATACACACTTACATAATATACATATACACATACACACTTACATAATATACATATACACATACACACTTACATATATACATATACACATACACACTTACATATATACATATACACATACACACTTACATATATACATATACACATACACACTTACATATATACATATACACATACACACTTACATATATACATATACACATACACACTTACATATATACATATACACATACAGTAATACCCTGTAATACCCTGTGATACCCTGTGATACCCTGTAATACCCTGTGATACCCTGTAATACCCTGTGATACCCTGTGATACCCTGTAATACCCCTGCGTAGCACTAGGGTTCACGTACCGCTGGTTGGGAAACACTGAAGTCGTGTTGTCATTGTAGTAAATTTCCATCTTGATTTTGATTTGAGACAAAATAGAGGCTGTAGACAGAGTAGACTAGTATTCACGCCTCCCCCCCCCCTGTTTGAGAAACGGGATACGCCGATTTGAACAGCGGCAAGTTTAGAGCCAAATTCCATATATGGGCATTAATCTTCATCACTGACTGTGGGCTTTAACCATGGATCTATAATAATAACGGCTTTAACATGTATGATAAGAACTGGAACAAGGATCATACAGGGCCATTCCAAAGCTCAATGCCTCCTGACATAACAAACATGTAATATATCCCATGAAAGATTCTGTAAATGTGACGTTTGAACATTTACATTTCAGCAGGTTTGTTTACAGATCATCAGATGCTATTTCTGTATATATATATAGTGTAGTTATTCCAAACGTTGATTAAACATGCAGACCCAGCTCTACTCCATCCTACTGCAGGTTAACGAAATACAAAACGTAAATGTTGTGCCACAGAACTAAAACTAAGAACTAAACTTACCTAAAAAATCCGAGTTTGTGATTTTTTGTGTAACCATAAACATCAGAAAATGTGCAACATGTGAGGCACACAAAATACAGTCTATGACCCGTTAATCAGCTTCGTCCATACTCCGAGTGCAGCCAATAGGAAACTCCGTAATTTCCTACGTCACTTTTATGCGCCATTGTTGTCATTCTGTGAAACATGCTCCGAACATGGCCCGAACATGGCCTCATCTTGCTGGGTCAGGACAGAACACGCTCCGTGACAGTTTGTGAGCAGTACTTTTGTGGCGGTTGTTGATCCAGGATGAGCGGCCTGTGCAGAGAAGTGCTCACGCTGCAGCTCGGACATTATTCTAACTATGTCGGGACTCACTGGTGGAACTTACAGGTTTGTGCAGCAGCTAAAGCTAATGCTAGTGCTAATGCTAATGCTAAGAGGAGGTAGCAACCTCATATTTTGGTTTGGCCATTTGGGATATGTTTTTGAATTAGTATTGACATTAATGTAAATAGAATATAGAAGCAGTTGATGAAAGTGATGAATAGTTATCGTAAGGTTAATTTTAGTGGAAGTAGTTACTGCCTTAGTTCTGACAGTTCTTGAAGAGCTGTGCAATTAGTTATTCCATTTCAATCTGCATTATACATATTCCTGTCTTCATTTATTACTTAGACTTACCTTTTGACCAGTAAATGTGGTTCTTAACTAACCCAAGACTAAGACTAATTGTTATCAATAAATACAGGTACATGTTCTGGAATTCTGGTGTTTCCTCAATCACTGAATTGATTTTGGACATTTTGTACCAAAACTTTCGGGCTGTTCCAAAAATCAAAAGATCGAATGAGCACAAATCTTAATCTTGATTTATTGTCACATACATTGAAATAGACAGAAGGGTTGCCATCACTCTTTAAGAAAATGAACTGAGTCAGGGACAAAGGACGTGTGTTGACCTCTCCTCACTTTTCTTTCACAAAGTGTATCTTAAATAGTAACGTATTAGTCAGTAGCATCTCTTCTGCTGCACGTGCTGCACCTCCACACGCTCTGGGTTTAACGGTATATTTAATTTCACTATGATCTTAGTGAACATTAGTATAGCATATCACCCGGGCCTAACGTCAAAGGTAAATACCATAGACTGTAAAGACTTGTTTAATATGATACACATGTGAGTCTGTGGTCACAATCATCTGTAAGTGGCTCTTTTACACTCGTTTACATTATTGATATTATACAATACTACACTCGGTCTGTTACTGTTCCCGCCGCAGGACGCCTCTCTGTCCTACGACCCGGACGCTCCTTTGGGGGAGATCCAGAGCGATGTGGTGTTCCGTGAAGGACAGACCTCCGGAGGCCACGCCACCTACACTCCACGACTCATCGCAATGGACCTCAAAGGTACGCCCAGTCTGACCACTCAAAGGTACGGCCAGTCTGACCACTCAAAGGTACGGCCAGTCTGACCACTCAAAGGTACGCCCAGACTGACCACTCAAAGGTACGACCAGTCTGACCACTCAAAGGTACGCCCAGTCTGACCACTCAAAGGTACGCCCAGACTGACCACTCAAAGGTACGACCAGTCTGACCACTCAAAGGTACGCCCAGTCTGACCACTCAAAGGTACGCCCAGACTGACCACTCAAAGGTACGCCCAGTCTGACCACTCAAAGGTACGGCCAGTCTGACCACTCAAAGGTACGCCCAGTCTGACCACTCAAAGGTACGCCCAGACTGACCACTCAAAGGTACGGCCAGTCTGACCACTCAAAGGTACGCCCAGTCTGACCACTCAAAGGTACGCCCAGACTGACCACTCAAAGGTACGGCCAGTCTGACCACTCAAAGGTACGCCCAGTCTGACCACTCAAAGGTACGCCCAGACTGACCACTCAAAGGTACGCCCAGACTGACCACTCAAAGGTACGCCCAGACTGACCACTCAAAGGTACGACCAGTCTGACCACTCAAAGGTACGGCCAGTCTGACCACTCAAAGGTACGCCCAGTCTGAGAGACCATAATGAGTTTTGATATTATTTTTGGATTTGCTTTGATTGAACCAAAACTGGACTGACGTTTAAGAAAGCTGAGTGTAGATTAATTTACAGATGACAGATCACCGGCCGTCAGCCGCACTGTGGAGGCCGCATATGGCCCCTAGGCCGCATGTTGCCCAGGACTGTTCTGATAGGACAGAGTAAAGTAGGTGATCTGTTGGTCATCTCACTGAAGTATGAACCAAACTTCATGTAAACTGTAAACTGTTTTCCAAAGGGAGTCTTCGAACGCTCCGACAGGAAGGAAGTCTGTACGACCCTGGGAAAGACACATCTGCAGCGTCATGGTGAGAGAGAGGGATTATATAATAATATATTATTATAAATCATTTATAATAATAACTCGTGTCATGGTGAGAGAGACATCTTTGAGAATGTTCTTTTCTGATACTGTTTATATAATAATACTAACTCCTGTTTTAGGGAGGGAAATCTCATGTTGCACAAAGAAAGTCCTCCATCAAAGAACCCTTTCCTGGAGGATCTGGACACTATTGATGCAAGTATCATTTAAATAGTTGTAGTTGTAGTTGTAGTTGTAGGTGCTCGGAGCTCTACAGTCTGTACGGTCTGTGTTTGTAAAGAAGCCGTACGTTTGAGTGACATGTGTCTTTCTTTACAGAAAGGAGAGATTTTAGCAGAATCAGACTCCTCCTTCTCTCCCCCACACTGCTCTGGTACGTGGTCATGTGACCCGGAATATCACAATAATTACTAATCATTCATATGTTTTAGGGATCAGAGAACTCTGATTCTAAAACTTATTTATTCAACGTCTTAATATCAATAGTTTACTTTGGTTTTTCTTACAAAACACAAGCACTTTGATCTTTACACGTTTATAATATAAACAAACTCATTTAGCTTCAACTTCATGACGTTGTATCTTTGGACAGTTGTTCCACAGTTTAACCTTTTACTCTCTACCTTTGGTTTTATTCAATCTTTTTCATTAATGATATTAAATAAAATATTAAATGAAATTATGAAAGGGTTAAATTATTATGAAATGTTTCCTGTTGTTTTGTTTGAGCTTATGGCTTTAATAGTTAATCTGTATTTATTTAATATTTAAATGAAGCAATGTATCAAACAATAAAATAAATGTCCTCTTCCTCCTTCGTCTTCGTCATAATCTTCATCATCATCAGCCGCAGCAGTGACTGTGGACTCGGTGAACACTCAGCTCTCCAAACTTCAGAAAAGCTACAGACTCGAGGGCAGCGTCCGAGTCTGGTCCGACTTCCGGATCCACCTGCGGATCCACCTCCACCCGAGAACCATCTCTGTGGTCCCACCCACGACGGTAGTACAACCACGACGGGGTACGTTTACCGGACACAGCCGAGACCCACGATAACCACGACGGGTACGTTTACCGGACACAGCCGAGACCCCGACGACGATAACCACCACGGGTACGTTTACCGGACACAGCCGAGACCTAAACTCCTCTTGATCAGTAACTGTTTGTGTCACACTCACTTCAGGATCACGTTAGCCACACGGCTGCCCCTGTTCAGGAGCAAATGCCCATATAAGGAAATTGGCTCCAGCTATCTTATGTCCAATGGGCTCCTCTGAGATGACTGTTGTGATTTAGGGATATATGTTATATACTGTATGTTGAATTATAAATATACATATAATTGTACGCTATACTTATGCTGTTGGTTTGATCTGTATTTAAAGATTTCTAAGATGGTGATTTCTAAGATGGTGATTTCTAAGATGTGGTTCCACAGAGAGGCCCATCGTCTGGAGGCGTTCGCTCAGGGAGAGTCTCTGCTGCAGGGACCGGTGCTGGAGGATCTGGAAGACCGTCTGCACTTCTTTGTGGAAGAGTGTGATTATCTACAGGTGGGATTATCTACAGGTGGGATTATCTACATGTGGGATTATCTACATGTGGGATTATCTACAGGTGGGATTATCTACAGGTGGGATTATCTACAGGTGGGATTATCTACAGGTGGGATTATCTACAGGTGGGATTATCTACAGGTGGGATTATCTACAGGAGGGATTATCTACAGGAGGGATTATCTACAGGAGGGATTATCTACAGGAGGGATTATCTACAGGAGGGATTATCTACAGGAGGGATTATCTACAGGAGGGATTATCTACAGGAGGGATTATCTACAGGAGGGATTATCTACAGGAGGGATTATCTACAGGAGGGATTATCTACAGGAGGGATTATCTACAGGAGGGATTATCTACAGGAGGGATTATCTACAGGAGGGATTATCTACAGGAGGGATTATCTACAGGAGGGATTATCTACAGGAGGGATTATCTACAGGCGGCCGTTTCACCGATTCGCCTCAAAATCGCTCCACATCATCTCAACACATGTACCTTCAAAATGACCTCAGGGATTTTTGATTAGTGAAACATTGTTTGAGCAGCGGAGCGGCAAAATGTGACCTTTTTTGGCCGTTTTTGACAACATAAAATTTGCTCCCGTTTGCACAAACAAACAATGCACAAAACTTTAATACATTGTTCAACTCTAGGGTCTAGGTCATTTGAAAGTCAAATGATTCAAATTGACACAATATCGCCCCCTACAGACTATTTCAAAATTTTAGATGGGCATTTTCAAATTTAGTTTTTTCAAAATGTTTGAAATTTTGCACAAAAATCTGTTTTGCCCTCTTGATTCATAAAGTCAATAGGGTCCAAGGCTTATTTTTTACCCTGTTGCCGTGGCGACGACAAACGCTCCCCATTCATTGCAAATGTACACCTCACACAAACATCAAACCAGCCTCGGCCGTTTCACCGATTCGCCTCAAAATCGCTCCACATCATCTCAACACATGTACCTTCAAAATGACTTCAGGGAATTTTGATCCGTGAAACGTTGTTTGAGCAGCGGAGCGGCAAAATGTGAGGGTTTTTTTGGCTCTTTTTGACAACATTAATTTTGCTCCTGTTTGCACAAACAAAGTCTGATTTGCACAAAACTTGAATCCATTGTTCAATTCTAGGGTTTAGGTCAGGTTAAAGTGAAATATTGGAAATTGGCCCATTAGCGCCCCCTACAGACTGTATCAAAGTTTACATGGGGAGCCAAACCAGCTCTACTTATCATATTCATTACAATTTGACTAACATTCTTCTATGGCTACGGACACAAATCATCACACGGCGGGACCACCTCCTTTTAGCGGTGCTGCGTGGTACGGTGTGGTGCGGCGTAGTGCGGGGCGTTGTGGAGCGGCGCTTTGGCGGCTTGGTGCAGGGCGGCGTGGTGCGGGGCGGCGTGGTGCGGGGAGTGCGCGCGGTGCAGGGAGTCGCGCGGTGCGGCGAGGGCCGTTCGACGCCGCTTGCGGCTTTAATTTATTTCTTTCTTTCTTTTTTTCTTCTGCACTTTGAGCCTTAATTTGACCCCCTGAACATGCATGAAAAGTTGTTAATTTTGGCCCAAAAATCAGACCTGGCGAAAAATTTGATATTTTGGTGTTTATTTTTATGGGACTCAAAAAATGACAGAACAGCGCCACCTACAACAGCCAAAATAATACCCCTATGGGACTTTTCGGAGGTCAAGTTTGTCGTAGAAACATGAGATTTGGTACACATGTTCCTCAAGTCAAGACAAGAAAAAAATATTATTATGGCCCCGCCCTCTGACAAACAGGAAGCCCATAAATTTCACTGCAAAATGGAAAAATGAACAGCAAAAGTTTTCATACATGTCGGTTGGAAAGCGACTCCTCCTCGGCCGTTTCACCGATTCGCCTCAAAATCGCTCCACATCATCTCAACACATGTACCTTCAAAATGACCTCAGGGATTTTTGATCAGTGAAACATTGTTTGAGCAGCGGAGCGGCAAAATGTGACCTTTTTTTGGCCGTTTTTGACAACATTAAATTTGCTCCCGTTTGCACAAACAAAGTCTGATTTGCACAAAACTTTAATACATTGTTCAACTCTAGGGTCTAGGTCATTTGAAAGTGAATTAATTCAAATTGACACATTAGCGCCCCCTACAGACTATTTCAAAGTTTTAGATGGGCATTTTCAAATTTAGTTTTTTCAAAATGTTTGAAATTTTGCACATAAATCTGTTTTGCCCTCTTGATTCAAAAAGTCAATTGGGTCCAAGGCTTATTTTTTACCCTGTTGCCGTGGCGACGAGAAACGCTCCCCATTCATTGCAAATGTACACCTCACACAAACATCAAACCAGCCTCAGCCGTTTCACCGATTGGCCTCAAAATTGCTCCACATCATCTCAACACATGTACCTTCAAAATGACTTCAGGGAATTTTGATCAGTGAAACGTTGTTTGAGCAGCGGAGCGGCAAAATGTGAGGTTTTTTTTGGCCGTTTTTGACAACATTATTTTTTTTCCCGTTTGCACAAACAAAGAATGATTTGCATTACACTTCAATCCATTGTTCAACTCCAGGGTTTAGGTCAGGTGAAAGTGAAATATTTGAAATTGGCCCATTAGCGCCCCCTACAGACTGAAGTCAAAGTTTACATGGGGAGCCAAACCAGCTCTACTTATCATATTCATTACAATTTGACTAACAATCTTCTATGGCTATGGGAACAAATCACCACACGGCGGCGCCACCTCCTTTGAGCGGTGCTGCGTGGTACGGTGTGGTGCGGCGTAGTGCGGGGCGTTGTGGAGCGGCGAGTTGCGGCTTGGTGCGGGGCGGCGTGATGCCGGACAGCGTGGTGCAGGGCGGCGTGGTGCGGGGTGGCGTGGTGCGGGGTGGCGTGGTGCGGGGGGTGTGCGCAGGAGCGGCGAGGGCCGCTCGACGCCGCTTGCGGCTTTAATTTATTTCTTTCTTTCTTTCTTTCTTTTTTCTTCTGCACTTTGAGCCTTAATTTGACCCCCTGAACATGCATGAAAAGTTGTTAATTTTGGCCCAAAAATCAGACCTGGCGAAAAATTTGATATTTTGGTGTTTATTTTTATGGGACTCAAAAAATGACGGAACAGCGCCACCTACAACAGCCAAAATAATACCCCTATGGGAGTTTTGGAGATCAAGTTTGTCATAGAGTCATGAAATTTGGTACACATGTTTGTCAAGTCAAGACAAGAAAAAAATATTATTATGGCCCCGCCCTCTGACAAACAGGAAGCCCATAAATTTCACTGCAAAATGGAAAAATGAACAGCAAAAGTTTTCATACACGTCGGTTGGAAAGCGACTCCTCCTCGGCCGTTTCACCGATTCACCTCAAAATCGCTCCACATCATCTCAACACATGTACCTTCAAAATGACCTCAGGGATTTTTGATCAGTGAAACATTGTTCGAGCAGTGGAGCGGCAAAATGTGACCTTTTTTTGGCCGTTTTTGACAACATTAAATTTGCTCCCGTTTGCACAAACAAAGTCTGATTTTCACAAAACTTTAATACATTGTTCAACTCTAGGGTCTAGGTCATTTGAAAGTTAAATGATTCAAATTGACACATTAGCGCCCCCTACAGACTATTTCAAAATTTTAAATGGGCATTTTCAAATTTAGTTTTTTCAAAATGTTTGAAATTTTGCACATACATCTGTTTTGCCCTCTTGATTCAAAAAGTCAATTGGGTCCAAGGCTTATTTTTAACCCTGTTGCCGTGGCGACGACAAACGCTCCCCATTCATTGCAAATGTACACCTCACACAAACATCAAACCAGCCTCGGCCGTTTCACCGATTCGCCTCAAAATCGCTTCAAATCATCTCAACACATGTACCTTCAAAATGACTTCAGGGAATTTTGATCAGTGAAACGTTGTTTCAGCAGCGGAGCAGCAAAATGTGAGGTTTTTTTTGGCTCTTTTTGACAACATTAATTTTGCTCCTGTTTGCACAAACAAAGTCTGATTTGCACAAAACTTTAATCCATTGTTCAATTCCAGGGTTTAGGTCAGGTTAAAGTGAAATATTGGAAATTGGCCCATTAGCGCCCCCTACAGACTGTGTCAAAGTTTACATGGGGAGCCAAACCAGCTCTACTTATCATATTCATTACAATTTGACTAACATTCTTCTATGACTACGGGAACAAATCATCACACGGCGGTGCCACCTCCTTTTAGCGGTGCTGCGTGGTACGGTGTGGTGCGGCGTAGTGCGGGGCGTTGTGGAGCGGCGCGTTGCGGCTTGGTGCGGGGCGGCGTGGTGCGGGACGGCTTGGTGCGGGGCGGCGTGGTGCGGGGAGTGCGCGCGGTGCAGGGAGTCGCGCGGTGCGGCGAGGGCCGTTCGACGCCGCTTGCGGCTTTAATTCTGTTTGATTTGGTCACAACATTTTATTTTTTTCCCAAAAAACATGCATTGTCAAGGCAAGCAAAAATTTAGGTAGCTGAGCTTTATTTTATAGTGAGTCTTGGCTGCACTTTGTCAGGAGACTTCGGGGAGACGGGGGAGAGACAGGGAGAGACATGGGGGAGAGACAGGGAGAGACAGGGAGAGACAGGGAGAGACATGGGGGAGAGACAGGGAGAGACAGGGAGAGACATGGGGGAGAGACATGGGGGAGAGACAGGGAGAGACATGGGGGAGAGACAGGGAGAGACAGGGAGAGACATGGGGGAGAGACAGGGAGAGACAGGGAGAGACAGGGAGAGACATGGGGGAGAGACATGGGGGAGAGACATGGGGGAGAGACATGGGGGAGAGACAGGGAGAGACATGGGGGAGAGACAGGGAGAGACAGGGAGAGACATGGGGGAGAGACATGGGGGAGAGACAGGGAGAGACATGGGGGTGAGACAGAGAGACATGGGGGTGAGACAGAGAGACATGGGGGTGAGACAGAGAGACATGGGGCAGAGACAGGGAGAGACATGGGGGTGAGACAGAGAGACATGGGGGTGAGACAGAGAGACATGGGGGTGAGACAGAGAGACATGGGGGAGAGACAGGGAGAGACATGGGGGAGAGACAGGGAGAGACATGGGGGAGAGACAGGGAGAGACATGGGGGTGAGACAGAGAGACATGGGGGAGAGACAGGGAGAGACATGAGGGAGAGACAGGGTGAGACATGGGGGAGAGACAGGGTGAGACATGGGGGAGAGACAGGGAGAGACATGGGGGTGAGACAGGGAGAGACATGGGGGAGAGACAGGGTGAGACATGGGGGAGAGACAGGGTGAGACATGGGGGAGAGACAGGGTGAGACATGGGGGAGAGACAGGGAGAGACATGGGGGAGAGACATGGGGGAGAGACAGGGAGAGACATGGGGGTGAGACAGGGAGAGACATGGGGGAGAGACAGGGTGAGACATGGGGGAGAGACAGGGTGAGACATGGGGGAGAGACAGGGAGAGACATGGGGGAGAGACAGGGTGAGACATGGGGGAGAGACAGGGTGAGACATGGGGGAGAGACAGGGAGAGACAGGGTGAGACATGGGGGAGAGACAGGGTGAGACGGGGGACAGACGAGGGAGGGAGCTTGTTGCACGTGCGGGTCTCCCTTGTCTCTCCCTCGGTCCTGACCTATGGTCTATGGTCCGTGCTCGGTACATGACCCCTGTGACCCCTGTGACCCCTGTGACCCCTGTGGCAGTGCGTTCGCTGAGCTGTCAAAGCAGCCACTGTTGCTCCCGGGGTCAGAGCGGAGGATGTTAATCCCGTTTGAGTACGTTACGCAAACAACTGCCCGCGGTCAGCGAGAAAAAGTTGGAATTCACGGATCCGCAGATAATTCTCATCACAGGTATATCTTGATACATTTCATTGGTTCAGAGAATTGATCAATGAAGAGAATAGGTCAAAAAAAGAAAAAAAGACATGTCTGCTTTCCCGGCCTTAAAGGTAGAAGAGCGCTCCCGGCTCGACAGGGAGAAACGCGGGAATGCACTCCCGGCCTCAATGGGTTAATTTAGAAAACTAAAATGGTTTTGGACTTTGTTCACACTCAAAAGATTTTAACTAAAACACGTGTTTGTTTAATGTAAATTTTAAGCCAATTTTGTATTCACAGCTTTGAAACGTGTTGCTTGAAATGTGTGTGTAGTTTAGTTAATAACTAAACTATTAACTCTTTAGTGTGTGGATATTATTATGACGTGAATGTAACTTTCAGTCTGACAGAAGTTTCTCTGCGTGTTTCAGGCTGAACCGCTTCAATAAGACGTACGTGAAGCGCTGCCTGATCGCGGGGGATCGTTCCACGGAGCCTCAGCTCATCTCCTTCTACAACAAGATGGAGCTGAAACAGGCCATGATGCTGGTGGAGAGCGGGAGCACGGCCCGACTGCCCTCACTGGTCTCAGCCGTGTCTCTGCAGTGAGTCTGACACGGAACACATACTTATAACATGTTCAAGACAGAGCTGCAGTGAGTTTGACACGGAACACATACTTATAACATGTTCAGGACAGAGCTGCAGTGAGTCTGACACGGAACACATACTTATAACATGTTCAGGACAGAGCTGCAGTGAGTCTGACACGGAACACATACTTATAACATGTTCAAGACAGAGCTGCAGTGAGTCTGACACGGAACACATACTTATAACATGTTCAGGACAGAGCTGCAGTGAGTCTGACACGGAACACATACTTATAACATGTTCAGGACAGAGCTGCAGTGAGTCTGACACGGAACACATACTTATAACATGTTCAGGACAGAGCTGCAGTGAGTCTGACACGGAACACATACTTATAACATGTTCAGGACAGAGCTGCAGTTTAACAGGATCAGGCAAAAACACTTTTCATTCATTCATGTATTTATTGTGGTTTGGTCTTTCACAGACGTTGCAGGATCAGGCACAGACTGAGGCCAAACTGTGCCGTATCCACATTATTCTGTCATATCCAGCACTTTAACAATTAATGAGACTGTAATTAATGATACTGTAATTAATGATACTGTAATTAATCACACTGAACAAGGTACAACACGTTTACGATTTTTACTATTTTTCCATCATTCATTTCTTTCATTAATATTTTGAGCTGAAACAGAAGTAGCACCTTTAAGATCATCACAGAAACACACCTTTCCTGAACAAACAGTGTTCCCTTAAAGTGGTTCTTAAACATGAAAGTCTGTCACATGATCGTGACTTTGCCTCTCCGTAAACAAAACCTGTAAAGACTGAGGGAGGTTCTTATTCTTAACTCCATGACCTGAGCCGTGTGCAGCTCCAGTCACAGGACTTCAGTGTTTGAATAAAATACTTCTGAAGAAATGAGAATGATCCGAGGCATTGAAATAAACATCCTTCTTTGTCCACAGAAGGTTTGGACACTTTCATTTATAAGGCTATGCTTGGTCTGCGGCCCTCACACAGAGACAGGTTCATGTGGTTTGGATCAAATGATCTTTTGTTGCTCTCTGTTCCCTTTGCTCAGAACTGGGAAAAGCTTTTGCACCTGCTGCTCCTACATGGAACGTGTTGCAAAAAGACTGGAAAATATCTGAATTTATTTCATTGAATTCTTTTTAATCCAGATTGAGACTGAGACGTCCTCATTGGAATGTAACTGTTTTTATAATCCGTAATTTTATTAAATTTGATATAACTGTTTTTATGATATGTTTGTCCAGGACTCCCTTGAAAAAGAGGTTCTTAATCTCAACTGGGACTTTCCTGGTTAAATAAAGGTGAAATAAGAATGAGTCCTAAACATGCTCTGAACGTGCCTCGGACTTTTCTCATCTCCTCATTTATGTTTTTATCACACACTGTAAATATATTATGTTTGTATTTATCACATGTTTTGTCTGAACCGTTGGGGTTTATGTCTTTGTGTTCTCTCAGGGTCATGCTTCTGTCTCCGGTCAAACTGAGGTCATAAACATATAAACATACAGTGTATAGTTAAACACATGTGTAGTCCAGCCTCACAGAGGATTAAAACATTACAATCTCTAATGATTATAATTATCAGCCTGTCTTTGATCAATTTGATCAATTATCAAATGTATTTTTCAGTGTCACAGATTTTAGATTAATTTATTTCTGTGTGTCTTTGTGACGCTCCCAGGAAGCTTTGTAAGGCTCAGAACATTACAACATTACTCAAACAAAAATATTAGGATCAACTTTAACATACTGAGAAATGAATGATTAGAAAAGAGTTCATGAAACGATACTTTAGAAACACAAACCTTAGATCTTTGCACATGTGGAGTTTGGAGCCGTTTAAACTTTAGGACAAAGAACTATTCTGAAACTAAAGTGGCTTCAAACTCTGTATGTGCCAAGATAGACGTTTGTGTACACACACACACACACACACACACACACACACACACACACACACACACACACACATACACGTTTTTGTTACCTGGTGGGTCCCTTTGACAGGGCCGTTCAGAATGGGACCCATAGACATAATCTTTTTTTACTGGGACTACTTTAAGTAATACAAAACAGTCAATAGAAAACAAACAACTCTTTTAAAGGAATTTTATTTTAGATTTTGTTTTCGAATTGCAGTGATTCTATTTTTGACATAGAATTTAATGCCACTCCATGTCCGATGTCTAAGGTCATCTGGTGAGGCATTAATGCAGGCCAGGCCAGGCCAGGCCAGGCAGTGAGACTTCCCAGGGACCTTTCCAGTCTGTATGAAAGGTGTCATGGTCTTCTCCACAGCCTTCACCTCAGATGCAGACCATGGCTTTCTCTAACGTTCTAGGGAGAGAAATAAAAATATATTAGCAATATACACTCCCAGGGTTAGGACCAAGCAGCCTGGCTGTAATCCCCCACCTGGTACACTTACCAGAAGGGGCACTGCCACTACCATGGGGTGCATCTGGATGAATGGTTGAAGGTTCTCCGCTTGAAGTTTCTTTTAGCCCGTCCGTTTGTGAGAGGATCTCTACTGCTCTCCCTGTCGCACAGAAAATAAAAATACAAGTGGCCTTTAGGGGAAAAAAATCATACATATTTTAATAATATCAAGAATTACCTTCAGGCTCAATTTGTATCTGGTCGAGGCTCTTTCCTTCGAATTCCGTCACTCTTCCCTGCTCCATGGCCATCAACACTTTGCTGATTTTGGCCAGCTCCAGTGTCCCCTCTGGTAGTCTGTAATATTGCCTGTGGATGCGAATGTCATGGCCGAGGAAGTTGGCAAGTATGTCCATCTCATTCTCTTTCATATTGAGAACTGTAGACATAGTAGCTATGTGCTTTCTAAGTTTGGTTGAGGATAGCATCTCTGGATGCACCGCACCACATTCTTTGGCTACCTGGCGTAGGGAGTCTGATCCCCTGATGTGGGTGTCTGCGCCCGGGCGGGAAAAGAAGTATGGGTTATGGTCAGAGATGGAACAGGCCCTTCTGTTCTCCACCAGCACCTCCATCCAAGCAATCATTTCAGGAGTCAAAAGAACCGGCACTTTCCGACTTCTTTTCCCTTTAATTTCAATGCGTTGAAAATGCTGACACAGCTTTTTCTCAAGTTGGGACAGTCCCAGAGCAATGTCAGAATGGATCCCAGTCTTACTTCTTAAGGTAAAGGCTGTCAGTGGCATCTTTGAAACCTCACCTTCCCTTCTTCGATTGAAAATGATGACCTCACAAAGAGTCAAAACTGCCAGTTTAGACCAATGCTTAGACGTTGGCTCACTTATTAGGGTTTGCACATATTCAGGTCGACATACCTCAATATGTGCATGCATGGCTCTAACGTCCTCAGTCAGAGGGAGCAGGTCCGGAGTGTTCCACTTGGCTTGCCGGAGGGTCTGTAGGGCAGCAGAAGAAACAC